ATGAAAGGATCCTTCTTGAGTTTCCCACATCTATGGTCCGGCCACTAAGTGTTGTGAAAGGAACCTTTCAAGTATGTTTGACTAACCTGAACGTTTTGGATTTTCAACAAGTAGCAAACACGAAACAAAAGATAAATTGGATTGTAACCTGAAATTGACTCATAGTTCCGAGATATGCTTTTCTTGTATGGATTTCTGGTTGCTAATCATAACTGCTGTGTCTTCCCAGATTACAACACGGAGAATAAATTTTATTGTTGACAACAGAGAAAGCCAGCATTTGACTGATCATTCAGAGGGGTCCCAAACAGGTGACCAAGAAAAGGATCGTAGTTGGCCAATGTCTTCTCTTCATCAGATTTATAGCCGGAGGTAAAGTTTCATCATCAAAATTCTGTCTAGCTTGTATAATTTCTATTCAATTTATTATCTTTCGGTTAAGTTCTATATTTTTGATTGTTTCTCAGATATCTCCTGAGAAGGAGCGCTCTGGAACTCTTTATGGTCGACCGTTCGAACTTCTTCTTTGATTTTGGGGTCTGCGTCTAAAACCCTTTCTATGTATAATATATGTATGTTTCGGACCTTATGAATCCCAGGTCTCCGCATACTGTAACTAATTGCTTGTCCCAATATTCTTGTTTAACACCATAGAATACCGAGGGAAGACGAAATGCGTATCGAGCTATTGTTCAAGCAAGGCCTCCTCACTTAAACAATATATACCTAGCAACTCAGGTTTGTGGTTTTTCCTTACTATCTTCCTTCGTTTAGCTTTTGAATTACTCTTGGTCCATATTATTCTTCAATGAGGGATTGATAAAGCATATAACTAGGCTGAGTCACTTTCTGTCATGTGCTGCAAACTTACATATATTGTTACCTTTTTAGAGGCCGGAACAGCTTTTGAGAAGAACTCAGTTAATGGAGCGCTGGGCTAGATGGGAGGTATCAATAAACTGCACACTCACACTTGTCATGCAATCTTTTTTAATCCTTATTCGAGAATAATATCTGATACAGAGAGATCCCCATCTGAATAATTTCTGCAGATTAGCAATTTCGAATACTTAATGCAGCTTAACACGTTGGCTGGCCGTAGTTACAATGACATTACTCAGGTAGATCTTGTGCTCTTTAGCATTTTCTGGTGAACTTGTCGTTTCTTCCTTGATAAAATATCTTATTCTTTGCAGTATCCTGTTTTCCCGTGGATTATTTCTGACAACAGTTCAGAAAGTTTAGACCTTTCAAATCCATCTACCTTCAGAGATCTTTCCAAGGTGGTATCCTTTTGCAGTTTGCTTCCATTTTTTCGTTCTAAACCTGCATATGATGGTTTATAAATCTCGAGAATCTTGTTGTGATGTGTGTTCAGCCAATTGGTGCATTGAACCCGGAGCGGCTCAAAAAATTTCAAGAGCGATATTCTAGCTTTGAGGATCCAGTCATTCCCAAATTCCACTATGGCTCGCATTACTCAAGCGCTGGAGCAGTAAGTTCTCTTCTCTACAATATCCTGCAAAAATTACTGCCATTCCCAGTTTAGAGTTTGTGTTCCTCTGAATCGTGAAAAAAAGACAATGATACTACTTTCAATGCAACGGGTACACTTTTTGATATTTTATTATTGTTATCTCATGTGCGCAGGTGTTGTATTATCTTGCCAGAGTTGAACCTTTCACAACCCTGTCAATTCAACTTCAAGGTGGAAAGTTTGATCATGCAGACCGCATGTTTTCAGACATTCCAGCCACATGGAATGGAGTTCTAGAAGATATGAGTGATGTGAAGGAGTTGGTAAGTATTGGGATCCTAAAACATCAAATGGATTTTACTTATCCGCCTCTTCCTCAACAACTCAAGAGCCCATCCAAATTTTGCGTTACAGGTTCCAGAATTGTTTTACCTCCCTGAGGTGCTGACCAACGAAAACTCGATCGACTTTGGTACCACACAGTTGGGAGAAAAGCTTGGTACTGTGGAACTCTTCCTTGTCATAGCTAAAATTTATGCCTGGCATTGTGAAACTTTCCTTATCTGATGCCTTTTTTTTTAATCTATCAGATGCTGTAAAACTTCCTCCTTGGGCCAAAAACCCAGTGGATTTTGTACACAAGCAGCGAAGGGCTCTTGAGAGCGAGCATGTATCTGCACATTTGCATGAATGGATTGATCTCATTTTCGGGTTGGTTTTCTCCCTTGAACTGACGATATACTGTCAGCACAGTTTTCGATAACTTAGTTTCCTCCTTTTGTTGAGTGTCCAGCAAAATAATCGCAGCAAAGTTCCTCCAAATTGTTTTTCTTATTAATTAACTTATTCATTTAGGTATAAGCAACGTGGGAAGGAAGCTATAATGGCAAATAACGTTTTCTTCTACATTACCTACGAGGGGACTGTTGATATTGATAAAATCACAGACCCGGTAAGGCAACTTTTTTATACTGTTGGAATAACTCAGTTTTAGTATAACATGTTTACGTGACTTGCCTGTGAATATTTGATGAAGGTTCAACAACGTGCTACGCAAGACCAAATAGCTTATTTTGGGCAAACACCGTCCCAGCTATTGACTGTTCCTCACATGAAGAGGATGCCGCTGAAAGATGTCCTACATATGCAGGTAACTGCATGTTTCAATCTGGTTTTGCAATTTCACTCTTTGTAAACACCTCGTTCAAACAGTTCCATTCTCTGAGGTTGGACTATTGAAGGGTTCCTTAAAACAACTTTTATCACAATAAACAGAGTTTTATTATAGTGGTCGGCGTCATAAGGTACTTTATTCCTCTGTGTTAAATTTGCCACTTGACCATGACAGTTATTTTGAATCTTTGTCAGACCATATTTCGAAATCCGAAAGAGATAAAACCGTATGCTGTTCAAGCTCCGGAACGCTGCAACTTACCGGCATCAGCGATTCAGGCATCTTCAGATAGTGTTGTGATTGTGGACATGAACGTGCCAGCAGCTCGTGTTGCTCAGCACAAGTGGCAACCAAACACACCTGATGGCCAAGGTACTCCTTTCCTCTTTCATCACGGGAAGGCAACAGCAGCTTCGACCAGTGGATCATTGATGCGCATGTTCAAGGGTCCAGCTAGTTCTGGAACTGGTGATTGGCAATTTCCCCAGGCACAAGCATTTGCCTCATCAGGGATCAGAAGTTCGTCCGTAGTCGCTATAACAAGTGATGGAGAAATAATCACAGGTAATAAGCAGGCAATTGTACGGTCACAACGTTTCAAGTGTGTTGGTAATATATTTACGGAAGTCATGTATGTTTCTTATAGGTGGACACGCGGATAATAGTATCAAGTTAGTCTCATCTGATGGAGCAAAAACTCTGGAAACGGCTTTTGGGCACTGTGCCCCTGTTACATGCCTGGCTCTGTCTCCAGACAACAACTTCCTTGTGACGGGTTCACGGGACAGTACTGTTTTGTTGTGGAGAATTCACAAGGCGTTTTCTTCCCGGACAAGCGTGTCTGAGCCATCAACTGGCTCTGGAGCGCCTTCCTCCGCAAGCAACACGAATCCGGCCAACACATTGGCAAATAGAAGCAAAAAAAGTCGCCTTGAAGGGCCTATACAAGTGCTCCGTGGCCACCGAAGAGAAGTAGTTTGTTGCTGTGTCAGCTCAGATCAAGGAGTCGTCGTTTCGTCCTCCGAGTCCTCAGATGTTCTATTGCACTCCATAAGAAAAGGAAGGCTGATCAGACGATTAGCTGGAGTGACGGCTAATTCTCTTTGCATTTCATCTGATGGGGTTATAATGGCATGGAGTAGCTCGGAAGGTTCAATTAGCGTGTTCACCATTAACGGAGTTTTGATTGCCAAGGCAAAGCATCCGTTCTCTAGTAGCATAAGCTGCATGGAAATATCCATGGATGGTCAAAACGCGCTGATTGGGATGAACTCATGTTCCAGCATAAATCTTTCGAGCAGTGAAGATACATCAAGAGATGGCGAAGAGATTGAGAGACTGGATGTTCCCCCTCCTTCAATTTGCTTCCTCAACTTATACACACTACAGGTATTATCAGAAGTCCCTGAAGAGATAAAGTAATGCATGGGCGGTTATGATCTAAGTCTAAACAACCTGAAATCCTTGTCTTGTAGGTACTCCATGTGCTAAAGCTTGGCCAAGGGCAGGATATAACGGCACTGGCTCTGAACGTTGACAACACAAACCTCTTAGTTTCCACGGAAGATAAACAGTTGATAGTCTTCACAGATCCGGCTGTAAGTTTCATTTTATCTATTCATCAATTGCTATCATATACTAAAACCATCATCCTTGATACATCAGTTTATTAAACACAGTTTCTATCATTGTTCATCATTGTTTGAAATGTGATTTTTTGCAGTTAAGCTTAAAGGTGGTGGATCAGATGCTGAAGCTTGGGTGGGAATGAGAGAGAAGAATTAAAAAATCACATTTATGATACAAAATGGCGGAAACTTACGGCAGTGTAATACCCGGAAAATAAAAGGTGAAGTAGGAAGCCGAAGAAATCTCAAGAACAGATAGGCATGTTTAGTCGTCTGTAACATATGTAAGTATGGTTAGTCCCAGTAAACTGATCCCGTTTGATCTGTTCTGTCGCGTGTTAACTTTTTTGCTCCATAGTTTTTGTGGGGGTCGTTTAGATCAAAAGGTATACATCAAAGCTTGAGCCATAATACGTCCTTTTCTCCCCCGCATTGAGTTTGCTTCTTTCTGTAGATTTGTACTTTTTGAGCTTTCCACTTATTAAATTCATTTGTTCAGAACCATTGTCTTCTCGTAAAATCATAATCTCGTGATCCAAATTTTCATAGTTTATCCATGAAAGAGGTGTATTACTATGTTGTATATGATTTTTTTGGTTCCTTCCTCTTCGACAGTTATAAAACAACAACGGGTATGAGAAAGTTTTGTTTTAGTTTGTATCATATCTTATTTTACCAAAAAAAAAAAAATCTTATTGGGCTCAATATGTATCATATGTTAATGGGTCAGTATGTATCAAATATTATTGGGCTCAATATGTATCAAATATTATTGGGCTCAATATATGGTTCTGGGCCCGATTTGGTGTTCTCCTGCAAGTTTCGAAGGCAGGTTAGTTAAAACAAAAAAAAGTAGGGCTGCGTCTCGAATTGTGAAGAGAGAAAGAGATGGGAGGGAAAGGAAAGAAGAGGAGAGAGAAGAACTACCTAGCAGCTCACGGCGGACCGGCGAGACTCCCGCCGCCGCCTGATCGTTCGAAGCAAGATGCTCTTCCTTCCAAGCTCCGTATTCTCATGAACTACACCTCTCCGTCTCCCAATGGTACCGTCTATATTCCTTTGCTACTAGAGAAAACGAGGAGAGACAAGTTTTTTTTTTTGTTAATGGTCTCTGGGTGTGTGTCTTGTGATTTCTCTCTGTGACTGGTCGCTTGTATGTTCTCTTCCTTCAGATTCGACTAAACAAGCTGTTGAGAAGAAAGATAAGAATTCTAAAGCCAGAGTAGATGCTGCGACGGTATAGTTTTCTAAACTTTGAGTTTTAATCCTTTGTAATTTTGGCAAATTAAATATGAGAAATATCAATTTTGAGAGATTTTTCCACTGAATCAAATGAAGATATAACAGCTTAGTAATGGTGCTCTCTCTTTATTCTGATTAGAACTTGATAGCAAATGGTGTTGTGGTCTTCTTCGTTAAGAACTTTTTGCTTATGGGAAAAATCTGAAATTTGATGTGGCATTTTGTTTCTGTGTGGTGGATAATTATATAATTAGAATGTCAAGCCTGGGAGTGAAACAAAACCGGAAGCAAAAGCGGTTGTTGAGGATATTAACGCTGAGGGATACACAACCTCTTCGGATCAAGAGAATGAAGGAGATGATGTAACGCCGAAGAAGGGAGATGACAAAAAGAAGAAGAAGAGAAAGAGAAATCAAGTTCAGGACCTTCGTTTCGAGAAGGAACTTGCGGAGTTGGATGGTCGGTCTAAAAGGAAAGAACGCAAGAAGAAGTAAGCTTTTTGTGTCTGCTCAATCAATTTCTTAAAAAGTCACAATGCTCTTAATAGCAAAATCCTATTTTGAGTTTGATGGCTTGATTGAAAATTTGCCCTACCCTAATGCAAGGTATTGGGAGGCCAAGAAGCAAAAGAAGAATAAAGGAAAGACAGAGGACACTCTCCGGGAAAACTTCCCGAAGCATGAACAGATAAAGTTTGGCGATGTGGTGCAAGCTCCACCGAAGCTGACTGTTCCAAAGGTATAGTCTCTAATTGTTAGTAAATCTCAGGTTAAACCACTTGTGTTATTGTGTTCAGTTGAGTATATATGTTTTATTTGACAGGCACGAAAGTCTACTATGACTGCTTCCAAGGAGAGGCAGCGATTAGAGGCCATCGAAGCTTACAGATCCCGCAATAATTGGTCCTCAAGACCTGGTGTTCAGATTCCTTCCGTGATCATGCAATAAGATGGGACATGAAGTCATTTTTGTAGTGTGTTACTTATCTGCTTTTTTTTTGTAATAGTTTGGCTGTAAAATTAGTTCCCTTTCTTCGGATTCTACTTTGTTACAGGAAATTTTATAATAGTTGAGTCATTCAAAGATCTCTTTCAATATGTAAAAGCGAATTATTTAGTATAAGGAAAGAAAAATTTGGTGTTTTTAACATCTTTCTTCAAATCAAAACTCCTTCACGCCTGTTGTGTGGAAGTATAAGATCAAGTGCTTGTCCTCGGGATTGCACAGAGATGTAATCCTCCTTCGACATGAAGTGTAAGCATTCTCTTGTAACGCACGTTGCTATTCTCATCAGCCATTTTGAAGCGAAAGAAGTGAAGAAGAGCCATTGATACTATCTTCATTTGCCTGTATGCGAAATCCTTTCCAAGACAGATTCTTGGACCAGCCTACATACACAGTCCAAGTTAGAAAAACATCTCAGGTATCTAGAAAACAATTGTCTTACTCTTAACTACGTAGCTTGTCTGCAAGAGATCAGTGTACAAACATGAAAGCTTATGAATTTGAACGGTGGTTCGGGTTGGAACACGCCGTCCTTAAGCCATCTCTCTGGCTGAAATTCCTCAGCATCTTGGCCCCAAATGTAAGTCATCCTACCCATTGCATAAGCTATGTAGTAGACATTATCCCCTTTGTTCACTCTATGTCCATCTGGAAGAATGTCATCATTTTCTGCACATCTCACGTCCTTCGGAAGGAACAAGAAAGATTAAGACCCGTTATACGATTCCATTAGGTCTTAAAATGTTCAGTTCACACAAGAATCTTTTTAAGGGCTGGTTACTTTACCACAGGCACAGAAGGGTAAAGCCTCAAGGTCTCAGACAAGGCTGCATGCAAATACTGCATCTGATCAAGAGCCGCTTCGGTTATACTTTCAACGAAACCATTAACATCGGTTGTTTTCTCGTGACTTGAGGTCACGTCTCTGATTTCTTGTACGATTTTCTCCTGAACAAGTGGGTTCTTACAGAGCATGTACAAGAACCAAGAGAGAGCTGCAGCGGTTGTGTCCTTCCCAGCAATCATGAAGCTCAATATGATATCCCTCAAGTACTTATCATTCATCTTCTCAGGATCTTTCTCACTCTCCACAAGAAATCTCGATAGTATGTCCTCTCTAACAGCCTAGAAGAGACAATGCAAAACGTTTTTTGAAAAGTTTTAAAACTGGTAAAAAAGAAAATTCAATCAAAAGAGATAGAGAACTCACAGTGTCCTGTTCCTTGGCAAGCTCCTTCCTTTTAATGGTAATGAGTCTGTAGACAAACTTGTCTATAGTAGCAATGCTCTTCTTGAGTCTAGATTGTGATCCAATGTTGAGAAACCATTTCAACTTCCACAGCGGATCGATGAACCTAGAGCTAGTTGCAACGTTACCTTCATCAAAAGCCTCCATGAACTCTTCCCCTTCTTTGCTAAACCCGTCTAAACATTGTAACTCCACACCAAAACCCACTTTAAAGATCGAGTCCAATGTACATCTCATCAACATATCCTAACCTCACACCCAAACAAAACAGAAGAAGAATCCTTTTGAGTTTCCAAATTTGGAAATCATGAATCAGTTTCCTGTATTTTCAGGTTTCAGAGTCTCTGTGAGAAGTTTGAAACTTACTTGAGCATCAAAAGATTTTCCAGAGAGAGCAAACTCGGTGACAAAACGAACGAGCTTAGATGCATTTCTCCTAAAAACAGAGCAGCTGAAATCTCTCAAGACTCTAGCAGAGAACTCGAAGCTCGCGAGCTTCCTCTGTTGTCTCCATTTCTCTCCATCAACAGAAAAGATCCCATGTCCCAGAAGATCCCCGAGATTCTGACGGGTGTCGTGTCCTTTGGTGTAGTTATCGAATCTCGTCTTGAGAAAATGCTCCACGTTACGAGGATCTGCAGTTAATACCTCGCTCTGTCCTGGACTCAAGAACCTGAAAGTTGGCTTTTTTCTTGCGATCTCTGTCTCGTAATCGTATAAATCGTCCCTGTGTAAGAAGAGATCGAAGATTGTGCCGTGTACTGGAGAATATTCCTTGTCGTATATGGATTTTCCGGTGAAGATTCTGATGGTGAGATAGATTATGAAAGATAGAAAGATGAAGATCGTCGATACTACTATAACAGCTATGCTCGTCAGAATCTCCATTCCTATCTCTCCTTTGTTTACTACTTCTTTCAATCTTTTCCGTTGAGGAGTCAACTTCGAGAGGTAAAAGACAAGACTTCTTCACGTCTCCACGAAGAAGATAATCTAAATTGGGCCCAAATATCCGGCCCATCATAAATGTGTTACATGAAGCAGGGCATTTTTAAACTGTCTTTAAGCCATCTCTCTGGCCTGAAATCGGAAATCCTCAGCATCTCTGGCTCCACGAAGAAGATGATCTAAATTGAGCCCAATAAGTGAGGCCCATAATTAATTTATCGGCCTTTTCTGAAGCGAATTCGAACACTCTTTGTCACGGAGAGGGTTTTAAAGACAAACATATGATAGTTCATCGTTTGCGTATTTTCCTGGATTTCGACTTCATCAATTTTAATTCACTCTCGGGATATCGATTTGATTTGATTCCTCTCGGACATGAATTCAGTTTCCGAGCAAAACCTGGTGAGTGAAACCAATTTTGTCGTTCTATTCTTTACTAATTGTTTAGATTCGGCAAGTGATGATCGAAAATTTTGTTTTTTTCGTAGATATGAGTTTCATCAGAGATATAATTGATTCGTTTAGCTCGGTTTTCACTGAAGAACACAATCATCGGGAAGAATCTAAGCACGATCCTAGCGTATCAACTTCTTCTGGCTCCATGAACGGCGTCGATGGAGTTCCGGTTTCCAACGAACGGGTTGCGTATAAGCTCAAAGGATACTTCGATTTGGCGAAAGAGGAAATCGCTAAAGGCGTGAAAGCAGAAGAGTGGGGTTTACATGAAGACGCGCTTCTTCATTACAGGAATGCTCAGAGGATCATGAGCGAAGCTAGCTCTACGCCTTCTCCTTCGTATATCAGTTCGAGGTATTGATCTCTCTGGTTTACTACTTCTTGTTGAGTTCTTTCGTCTGTATTGTTCTAATAAGTTTGATTGGCTGATATGGTAGCGAAAAGGAGAAGGTGAGATCGTACCGAGAGAAGATTTCCAAATGGCAGAATCAAGTATCGGAGAGATTGCAAGCTCTGAGTAAACGTACAGGTGATAAATTCGATTCTGACTTTTTTTGCATATTGGATGATGTATTAAAATTTCAATGTTGTGAAGAATCACAAGTGAATTCACATTGATGCTTTTTGTTTCTGGCATTTAGGTGTTGCAATGTCGGAGAATAAGGTATTGTCTTGCTTCTTTCTCGCTCTCTCTCTCTTTTTTTTTTTGTTACTTGATGTTGGAAGGAGAATGTGATGTTTGTAGATTTAAGTGATATGTTTATGATCCTTGATGATGCAGAGAACTGTACCATTTACTTCTCCAGCTTCGGTTTCATCATCTACAGCGTCGTCAAATAGAAGAGTTTCATCACAAATGAGGAATTCACTTCCCAGGGGTGGCATTGGAATGGCGAGGAGCCCTAAAGATGCTACTACAAACGCAAAACCTGCGAAAGAATCCGGAAATGTCTACGATGATAAGCTAGTAGAGATGATAAACACAACAATAGTGGATAGAAGTCCATCTGTGAGGTGGGATGATGTCGGTGAGTGCCATTGTTATATGCTTCCCTTCTTGTTTCGACGCAATATGTGGAAACACACTTATAGTTGAATTATTGCAGCTGGACTTGATGGAGCTAAACAAGCTTTATTGGAGATGGTTATATTACCGGCAAAACGGAGAGATTTGTTCACTGGTCTCCGAAGACCCGCGAGAGGTTAGAAATTTGAAGGCTTGGTTTCTTCTTAATCTTCTTCTCCATTGTCCGTCCTTTGGTAAAATTTCTTCTTTGTTAGGTCTGCTTCTCTTTGGTCCACCTGGCAATGGAAAAACAATGCTTGCCAAGGCAGTCGCTTCTGAGTCACAGGCAACGTTCTTCAATGTCTCTGCATCTTCTTTGACATCGAAATGGGTGTGTGCTTAGTCTGGTTCTGTGTTACTCCTCTCTTGTAATAAAGCTTGTTGAACTTTATTTTTTAGACAAACTGACTTTACTGTACTGATTCAGGTGGGTGAGGCTGAGAAGCTAGTTAAAACGCTGTTTCAGGTTGCAATATCCAGACAACCGTCTGTGATATTTATGGATGAAGTATGTACCTTTTTTTTTTCTTTCACTTTTATGTCTTATATGTTCTAAGAAGAACACCTGCTTTTAAAGAAGCTCTAGACAATACCATATTAGTTGTATTTGACCATTAAAAATGACGCCTTTAATTAGGATTAAACGTGTTTTTTTGATTCTATATTCAAGATCAATTTTTGTGATACACTGATAAACATATTGTTACTTGGAGATCTGATTCTGAATATGTTTTCTCTGGTTATCAGATAGATAGTATAATGTCTACGAGGTCGACCAATGAGAATGAAGCAAGCAGAAGGTTGAAATCAGAATTCCTTATCCAGTTTGATGGTGTGACTTCAAATCCTGATGATTTAGTGATTGTCATCGGTATGCTTCCTGCTACTTCAATCTTAATCAAACCCAATCTTCACTCTGTTTAGCCATCGTTTCTGATATATATGGTTGCAGGAGCTACTAACAAGCCACAGGAGCTGGATGATGCAGTGCTTAGGAGATTGGTAAGAAAAACACTATCTCCATCAGGATTCTCGTGCCCACCAATTCCTAGGAGAGTATCTGATTATATATGCTATGATTTTTTTATCACTTTGATATAGGTAAAGAGAATATATGTACCATTGCCGGATTCAAACGTCAGAAAACTACTTTTTCAGACGAAGTTGAAATGCCAGCCTCATTCTTTATCCGGTGGCGACATTGATAAGATTGTCAGAGAGACCGAAGGCAAGCTTTATAGATCTTTTGTATTAAGAAACACTGATTATTCATTACCACGCAGACACAGTCTAGTAACTAATGAGCATAAGCTTCCTTATGTAACAGGATACTCAGGAAGCGATCTCCAAGCATTGTGTGAAGAAGCTGCAATGATGCCAATCAGAGAACTCGGTGCAGATATTCTTACCATCCAAGCAAATAAAGTAATAAACCATATTAACCTTGAGAAAGAAATTAAAAAGCCCTCTTTATAAATCTTAGTCTCTCAAATCATTTCTGAAATATCTTTTGAGTTTAAATGGTTTGATCAATTGAATGTGTAATGTAACAGGTGAGACCGCTGAGATATGATGATTTTCGGAAATCGATGGCTGTGATCAGACCAAGCTTGAGTAAAAGCAAATGGGAGGAGCTTGAACGTTGGAACTCAGAGTTTGGCTCTAATTGAATTTCTTCTTGTAATTGGGAAAGTGTTTCTCTTGTAAATTTGATGACTTCTATAATATGGTGTAGAGTTAAAAAAGAAAACAGAAAACAGTCAAAATGTTTACTCTTCAAAGAGGAAGACGGACATTATAATGGCTTATAATTGGTTTGAAAGCAAACTCACCGATAATTCGATTTGGTTTAAGGATAATGTATTTAAATAATCAAAGTCTAGTTAACAGAACTATATAGTAAAAGAAAAAAGTGAAATGATGCGCATGATTATGAATTTATGATTAGTTTCGTTAAGTCGCAAAATTTGGAGAGAGCGTGGAGGGTAAAATCGCCATTTCTAATCCAGGTGCACATCGAAGATGATTAAAACGCTGCGTTTGGAATGCGTATCTTTCTTCAGGAGGGACTCTCTGAATTCAGTTTTCAAATTTGCTTCTCCGCTCTCTTTATCTCTCTCTTCTCCATCTATCCGTTGAAGCACAGGCTCTTGCTCTCCCGCTGTCGTCGAGTCACGGTGATCGGAAAAATGTATACGAAACCGATAGAGTTTGACGCTCGCGATCCTGAGAAGCCATGGTCTCTGGCAGATTTCGAGATCGGGAAACCGCTTGGTAAAGGCAAATTTGGCAGAGTCTATCTCGCCCGAGAAGCCAAGGTACTCCCTTCCCTTCATTGTTATCGATTTATGTTGAATTTCGCTATGGGTATTGCTTAGATTAGTGTAGATCTCTCTCTATCTTTTCTCTCTCTCTCTCGATTTAGCTTCGCTCTGGAGCTTTTTACTGTCATTGAAACCTAATTTTTCGAATCAACTGTGTGATAGAGCCATTTCGTGGTGGCGTTGAAAGTGATATTCAAGGAGCAAATTGAGAAGTATAAGCTTCATCACCAGCTTAGGAGAGAGATGGAGATCCAAACGAGTCTAAGGCACCCGAATATCCTGCGTCTCTACGGTTGGTTCGATGACGATGAGCGAATTTTCCTGATCCTCGAGTATGCTCATGGTGGTGAGCTCTATGGCCTTCTCAAAAAGAATACTCATCTTACCGAACAACAAGCCGCCACAGTGAGTCTCCTCGCTCTCTTTCCCTTTTATCTCAATTTTGCCTGAATCGTTTTTTTTGCTGCAATGTTGATTGTGTATGCTTCTCAAACGCTGTGATTCGTCACGACTGTGGAAATTTTATGGCTTGGTGATATACTTGCTTCTTGTGGATAAAATCTAATGCTTTTTTTCTAAACGATTTACTTGATTTCCAGTACATTTCAAGTCTCAGTCAGGCACTGGCTTATTGCCATGGAAAATGTGTGATTCACAGAGACATCAAACCTGAAAACTTGTTGCTTGATCATGAGGTATGTATGTATGGTTATAGTTTTTGCAACGAAAACTCAGGATTTTCATCATTACTTCTGTCATATACATTCAGGGAAGATTGAAAATCGCCGACTTTGGGTGGTCAGTGCAGTCAAGTAACAAGAGGAAAACAATGTGTGGAACCTTGGATTACTTAGCACCTGAGATGGTTGAAAACAAAGACCACGATCATGCAGTTGATAACTGGACTTTGGGCATACTGTGTTACGAGTTTCTCTATGGTAACCCTCCATTCGAAGCCGAGAATCAAAGGGATACATTCAAGAGGTAAGAGAGGGACTTAAGACTTTTCATCTTTTTTGGGGAAATTACAGTGGAAACTTAAACCTCAGCTCATGATGACGCTTTTTATTTAAATGTATGCAGAATTCTTAAGATCGATCTGAGTTTTCCTCCAACACCGAGTATTTCAGATGAAGCCAAAAATCTTATCAGTCAGGTACATTTAAGCTCTAGCATATCCATAAGAACTCTATTGCTGGAGTAGTTATAGAGCCCTAACACATGGTTGTTTATAATTTTTTGCAGCTCCTTGTTAAGGACCCGTCGAAACGACTATCTATTCAGAAGATCATGCAACATCCTTGGATTGTCAAGAACGCGGATCCTAAAGGTGTGTGCCTCACTTGATGCTATTCTCCCAATCTCAGGACTAGTAGCTTATATGTATCTAAGTGTTATCAGAAGAAAAGTCAGAGAACGCACATCTTATATCTTATCTAATGTTATGGGAATAGAACTTCGGGGAACGCGCATTTCGTGATGTATTATGTCTCTCAATTCATCACAATATGATCTAACTAAAATTTGTGTCTTAATATTTTTCTGTGATCGACTTCTTCTAACTTCTAACACAGATTATTAAGAGTGAACCATAGATAGAAACTAAAAACGTCAAAACATTAGGACCTCAACAACTTTTCTATGCTCTTAAACACCTGAAGAGCATAATGACAAGACCTCCTCATTGTCTTCTTCACCCCTTAAAGCTGTATCAGTAATGGTGGTGTCAGTACTGCAACTTTTAGTGCTCTTCTCATCAGAAACTCGTGACATTGGAATTCCCAGGACTGGAACAGTGAGCTTCTTGTCATCTCCATCTTTGCATGACACAGATCTAGCAGCTGTTCTCATTGTTAACGGGCTTAAACCGGCATTCTCATGTGAATTAGTAGTATCAACAGGATGCTTCTTCTTGATGCCTCTATGCATGTGCTTATCGCAGTACTTCTGACCAGACAAAGCATCTTTGCTGCATCTCCACTTCTTCCCATCCGTTCTTCGGCACCTTCCTGGTTCATTGTCTCTTTCAACTCTGTGTATAGGAAACCCACCACGATCTACAGTAAAGAAGCAACTCCATTAACATCATAGATAAGAGCAATCCATTTCTGAGAAAGCTTGAGATGCTGGTAAGAAGAGGTCAAAGGTATTACCTTGAAGAACCGTGTCTGGAGAAAAGTGGATACCAGGAAACAAGCCACCATTAAAATTCATATTCTTCCATTCTCTGCTTCTTGCAATTATATCATTCTTCCTGTTGCTTGGGAATTTTGCAGCTTCTAAGGAAATATCAGATGCCTCGGGAAAGAACTTTTGAACACAAGGTAACCTCTTATCACCTGGTAACGAAACAATGTAACCTGGTCAATTCATGAAACAGTGAAGAAAGGAACTCTATAGTTCTGTTAAGATTCTGATATCATGATACCTTGAACGGGGATTCCTCTAACACAAATATTCGAATCTCTTTGTTTGATGAAGTCATCATAACTCATCTCCATGGCCCTTCTGCTCTCAACGCCATGACTCACACGTTTGTTGGTGGACTCAGCGATCACTAAAGATGGACGAGTGACCTTATCACAGGCACTGGCACTACTAGGCAATGAAGCAATGGTAACTTCCTGAGCATTACTAGAAACCGGCACTGTCCCATGAAAAACACTCTGACTCTCATTACTACTGTCCAACCCGCAAGTGTTGTCGTGTTTGGTTGTAGCAGAGGACGAAGCAACATCATAAGGAGAAGAAGATTCCACAAGCTTTCTTGAACGTTTACGGCCTCTATGCATGTGCCGTTCACAGTACTTCTCAGACAGAAGGACCGTGTTGCTACAACGCCATTTCTTCCCATCTGTTCTCCTGCACCTTGTGGGTTCAGTTTCCACCTTATCACTCATCACTGCAACTCAAAACCCCAATAACCAAAAACATCTTTTCAGGGAACTAATCAAGGTAATCGAAATTGAGGAACATATACTAATAGATTCAGATGTCATCAAGAGTGGTTTGTATGTGATTCCTCCAAGTCTTGCAACTCAAAACCCAAGAACCAAAAACATGTTTCAGGAAATTAATAAGGGAGCCCCAAAATCAAATTGAGACAAGAATCAACAACAATCAAAAGCAGAACACAAGTTCTAATTCAATCTAAGATAACAAAAGACTATTCTTGTGTATATATGAATTGTGTAACTCCTGCAACTCAAAACCAAAGAACCAAAAAAACATGTTTCAGGAAATTAATTGAACACAAACCCATCAAGCTTTTCCACAATAAAACCTTCAAAATCACGGTCCAGGGATTGATTGCTGTGGTGTGTGTTAGATCTTCTAAATCTTGTTTGAAAATCCCATTGCACATAAATTACGCAAATACTTGTGAGAATTTCTTGTCAAAACACTTACGAGAAGAAGAGTGATGGTGGTGTTGGTGGATAAGGTAATTGGAGGAAGAAGAAGAGAGAGCAAGGCTGTTCCAAATAGGCACCACAAGATGATGAGGCACGCGAATACCAGCTTCTATGTATCTATAAACCAAAGCTTGCATCTGAAACTCAAGTAATTGCGCCGCCTTCATCCACGGCCACTTCCTCTTCCTCCTCCTCTCCTCCTCCCCCTCCTCTATTTTAGGGCTCTGCATCTTCATAACATTAGTTTGTTTGTTAAACTGTGATTTTTTTTCTTTCTAGGGAAGCTTTTCTCGATTCCAGAAAGAAGGAGGCAGCTTTTGAAACTAACGACCCAAGGAAACAAAACCCACCTCCCCAAAAAACAAAAGCCTTAACACAAAAATCAAAACAGATACTAAAATCTCTTGCTCTGTTCCTCACTATTTTAATTCAAAGGAGAGAGAGAGAGAGAGAAAAAAAAAAAAGAGAGGAAAGACGAAGAGGTGAGTGTGAAGAGATTTAAAGGTAGTTGTCAGGTTTCTGACAAATGCGTCAGCGATTTTCAGCCTTTTTTTGAATACTTTTCGGACAATATAAAAAGTTGCGTTTCCCTCTTTAAACATTGCCAACACAGACTAATAACTCCACTACATCACCACCTTCCTCTCCTCCTTGGGCCCTAATTATGATGACAGGCCCATTATCATTCCTCCACTAAGTTGGGCTCAGATTTTATGTTTGCTTTAATTATGGCATCGTCCAAGTTTTTGTTGGTTTTATCTGCTCTTAATTACAACATTATGTTTCCCTGATACTTTTTCATCTTGTTCATACTTAGGCGGTGATTGGCTGTGATTTTAAAATCTGTATACAGCTAAAATATTTCTATTTCTAATTTTTTGGCTGTATAAAGTATTTTTTAAAAAATATATAGTTTTATGCTTTCTAAATTTTACAATTAAAATCTTAAAGAAAAAAAATTTACAACTATATTTTTACAACAAAAAAGTAAAATTACAGCTGTTACCAATCAAATTTGTAAATATATTTTTTCAATTAGTATAAAATATAAACAAATAGAAACAAATTTTTAAAAGTTTGATGTAATGCTTACTGGTATATGATTAGATGATAGTATTATACAATCACTAGTGATATATTATATATTTGCCGCACGTCGGCAATGCTTTAACAGCTCAAAAAATCTTATAATGGGAAGCAGTGTAATTCAGTATTGGTCCTCACCGACTTGTGGATATATCTAAAATATAAATATAAAGATGTATATTTTTGTCTAAATAATTTTTTTATTGTTACAATACAAAAAGTGGCGTTTGTATCATAATTGCCTTAAATACACATTCTAATGGTGAAGCCACTAATCCACAATCTGTTTTTGGTTTATAAAACATATTCTCAGATTAAAAAAAAACAAAACAATGATAACACAAGAAACGTATCTGAGCATCACTAATAAAACTCAACACAAACGACTGAGGTAGAAAAAGTTGTATTTTTCTTGTCTTCTGAATTTTATTAGATACGAAAGGGTTTACTACATACACATACACTCAAAATAAGGCAAATCAAAACTACGGAATAGTTAGTCAGAAGAACATTACACAGAGGTAACGCTTCTGCTCTAGTGTTGTATTTTTCTCAAATTAATATCAGAAGTGAAAAAAGAAGCCCAAAGCCCGTTTTGGTAATTTAAGCAAAAAGACAATTAAATGGAATGGCCTCTTTCTTCTTCCAGCTATGTCCGAAAAAGCACATGGCCCCAATCCAACCCAACTTACTTCTAAACAACACACATTCAAAGATAAAGGAGACTAACTCTAGTCAATATCTAACCTAACCATGGTTAATATGTAAACGCTTGGTTCTCACACTAATTATTCTTCTCTTTTAACTTCGCCTCTCTCCTCTGTCTTCTTACTTCTTCTCTGTTCCACACTCTCACTGAAACGGAAACTCAACCGTCTAGTCATGGCGGCGCCACAGACTTTCTCTCTCCTCGCATTCACTTTCTCTCTCCTCGCCCTCGCTTCCACCGTACGCGGCCACAACATCACTCAAATCCTCGCTGATTCCCCTGAATACTCCTCCTTCAACAGCTACCTCTCTCAGACGAAGCTCGCCGACGAAATCAACAGCCGCTCGACGATTACCCTTCTCGTCCTCAACAATGGCGCAATGTCTTCTCTCGCCGGAAATCACCCACTCTCCGTCATTAAAAACGCTCTAAGCCTCCTCGTCCTCCTCGATTACTACGATCCCCAGAAACTCCACAAGATCTCCGACGGCACAACTCTATCCACCACGCTCTACCAAACCACCGGAAACGCTCCCGGAAACTTAGGATTCGTCAATATCACCGATCTTAAAGGAGGCAAAGTCGGATTTGGCTCCGCCGCTTCAGGTTCCAAGCTCGATTCTTCTTACACAAAATCCGTTAAGCAAATACCTTACAACATCTCTGTTCTGGAGATCGATGCTCCGATCATAGCTCCGGGAATCTTAACCGCCCCTGCTCCATCCGCCGCCGTGTCTAACATCACCGGATTGCTCGAGAAAGCCGGCTGCAAAACATTCGCTGATTTGCTTGTCTCGAGTGGAGTTATCAAGACTTACGAATCCGCCATTGAAAAAGGTTTGACGGTTTTTGCACCGTCCGATGAAGCTTTTAAAGCCGAAGATGTCCCAGATCTAACGAAGCTCACTCAAGCGGAGGTGGTCTCGCTTCTAGAGTACCACGCCCTCGCTGAGTACAAGCCTAAAGGCTCACTGAAGACTAACAAAAACAACATCTCAACATTAGCCACCAACGGAGCCGGAAAATTCGATTTAACAACCTCAACTTCCGGCGACGAAGTTATTCTCCACACAGGCGTTGCTCCTTCGAGACTCGCCGATACGGTGCTCGACGCGACTCCAGTCGTGATATTCACCGTGGACAGTGTCCTCCTCCCTACTGAGCTATTCGGAAAATCTCCTTCTCCGGCACCAGCGCCGGCGCCAGATACCGCACCGACACCATCTCCAGCGGAAGGACCATCACCCGCCGCAGCTTCACCGCCGGCTCCTCCGACGGACGAGTCACCGGACAGTGCTCCTTCAGACTCACCGACAGGTTCTTCCGCGGACAGCAAGTCGGCTAACGCGGCGGTTTTCATGAGCTCACCGTCGTTGTTCAACGCATTTGTCGCGCTTGCCGCCGTTGCCGTTTCGGTGTCTCTCTGCTTCTGAAGTTAGATCCTTTCGGATCCTCGTAATTACGCAGGCAGCCTCTTTCTTATTTCTTTTTTATTTATTTTTACTTTTACTTTTGTTTTGTGGTTCTGTTTGTTTTGAATGGTGGGATTAGAGAGTGAGTTTTAAATCTTTTGATTAATCACATTTTCATTATTGCTTTCAGTGTTAATCTGATTGCATCATCCCTCTTATATTATAACAATAACAATTTTTGAACCCAAAAACACATTAAACTAAAATTACCTATACAAGTTTAATAATCCAAACGAGCCCTTCATATTTCAAATATTATTGGAATTGCTTTGCCAAAAAAAAAATATTCTATGATTCTAACAGCAAACAAACAAAATATTAAAATCGTTGTTAATTCTTTTTGTTGGTGTACATTTTATAGACAGTACTACTCCACTTCAAACTTTGAAATGGAGTATTGTATTTACAACAATACAATGTACGACCATTTCAAACTTTACAATGTAGTTATAATGAATAATTGTAGGCACAAACAACCACTATGAATTAAATGTTTTCTTTCCTGTAGTTGTAACTAAGTGTTTGATTTTAGATTGCTTTAGAGTTTTTTTAATATTAGTCAGAAATAATCCCAGGCTTTTTGTTTTTAAATTTCATTTTGAAAGCAAATGATACCTTATTTCCCTCGCCGGCAAAACGCCAGTTTTAGCCCCGAAGCAACGAACAAAGCAAAATTTCCACTTTTAGACTTTGCTCATTTTTAATTATCATATTGCTCATTTTTAATTATCATATTGCTAACTTTTGTTTTCCAACCAACGATAAGAATCTTCAATATTTAAGGGTTACGTTAAAACGCTGACGTTTCACATGTACAAAAGAATGGGTCTACATTCTCTAGAGTTGGGAGAGGGTGGCCCATTTATATTTATTAAGAGAGCGAAAAGCCCGATTTACTAAATCTCTTTGGCACCGACACTTCTTTGGACAACGAGACGAAACTATATTCCGAGATCGGAAACCCTATCGTTCATAACTTTATAAAACGACACTCATAGTTCGGTTCCATTTAACAAACGGCAGGGCGTTCAAACATATGACGTGGCGTTGAGTGTTGGCTACACACGCGCTCCGCTTCTTTGATCAGTCTTCCTCGAGAAGCTTAGAATAATAGTAGTACACAGAGGGGACTCGTGGGTTCGTGAGTCACTCGTGACAACACAAAACCGCTTCACTCACTGAATATCCCCCGCCATTTTTCTCGCCTTCTACAATCGGAGTGTTAATGGCGTCTACGGCGGCTGAACAAGATGAGAGAAAAATTGCATCGGCAGCATCGAAGACGAGCCCCGACCTCAAAGCGGCTGCTGCGCCGCGGATCAATAACCAAAACGACGCTTCTCCATCTCCTTCTCCGTCGGTGAACTCTAAGGATTTCATCGTCTCCGTCGCTGCTAACATCGCCTCTCAGCCGTTGCAGAACTACGATTCGAACGTCTGGGGAGTCCTCACCGCAATTTCAAACAATGCTCGCAAACGCCGGCAGGTTCGTTCTTCATATTTCCCTCTTCAAAGCCTATTTTTCTCAGCGTTTTGGTATTTTGGAACCCTAGGGTATGTAGTGTGAAGCTCTTCCAAAGTTTAATTCGATTCCTGGTAAATGAACTTTAGGGCATAAATATACTTTTGACTTCTGATGAGCATCGTCTGGGAAGGCTGCCGTGTCACGCCAGTTATCAGATAGAGTCAACTGCAATAAGTGGGAACCATTGTAAGATATACCGTAAGCAGATAACAGGCGTTGATGGAGCTAGTGATGTATCTGTCTTTGTGGAAGACACTAGGTTAGTGAACTTCTCTCCTCTTTTAGCTGTGCTTCTAGCATTTTTTCCCAGTAGTGAAATTCATGCTTGTTTCTTTGTGTCTCTCCTCTCTCTTTGATTCAGCACAAACGGAACTTTTCTCAATTGGGAGAAGTTGAAAAAGAAAGGTCCTGAAGCCAGGGTTCAGCACGGTGACATCATATCGTTGGCAGTTCCTCCAGAGCATGGTAACATATGTGTTTCTACCTCTGCTTTGTAAAGTTATATCTCACCCTTTTTGGGAGATCAATTGATGTGTTAACACTTGGCCGCTGCACTTTTTCCACAGATAAGTCATTTGCATTTGTTTACCGGGAAGTACTTGGAAATAATACTGCAGTTCACTGCATGGACAGAAAAAGAAAAGCAGGTACCATAGTCATGGTTTCTCATATTTTTATTTCCCTGTCCTAACTTGCCATATGGTACGTATCAGGGAGCTTTTTTCACCATTATATAACAGTGTTTTCTCACTTCTGATATGTGCTTTTCTTGCTGTGAAGAGGATATAACTTATGAAACTAAGAGGCCGAAGGGCATAGGCATTGGTGGTCCTGATGGTCCGATATCTTTGGATGATTTCAAGAGCCTCCAGCGATCAAACACAGTATGTTCATCCTCAATGTTGGTGTCCTTTATTAGATGTAATTGATTGTGCCAACCTTGATGTCATTCTAACTCGGCTTATATATCAATAAATCAATGTTGTATGCAGGAACTGAGGAAGCAATTAGAAGCACAGGTGCTTACCGTTGACACTCTGCGTAACGAGTCCCGCGCAATTGTGGAGCACCATGAAAGTGTATGTAGAGTTTGTCTTTGAATCTTTGTTGTGGTGTGTGGAGGTTTTGTTATGTTAGTTGCTGTTGGTGGATTATTTAAGTATCTTTACTGATATATCTTTGCATTCTGTAGGAAATAAAACAGATTAAAGAGTCCATTGCAAAGTCATTTCAGAATGAACTGATTGAGCTGCGTGATCTAATAGATACTAAGCAGAAGGAACTGGCGCAGGTCAACAAAGTATCAGCTGAACAGAAGCATTCCATCGATGACCTTGGCGAGAGACTAAGCACTTCTTTGCAATCTCTCAGTGAAGCAAATGAAATAATTAAAAGGTAAATGAATTGTTTTTTCCTTTTTGATTTGTTGATCTTAGGATTATATTTATGCAGGTATTGTGACAACTTGTTAGAAACTTCGTCTTAGGACTTCCAATTTTGAATTACCTGTCCCAAAGTGGTCTAACGAAAACATCTCTAAACTAATTTTCCCCATAAATCAGTTCCATCCTTAATTCAAAAGTTATAGCTAGACACTTCAGGGACTGATAGCTAAGCTATGCGTCGATCGTTTAAAATGTGATACAAAAGACACTTTGTTTCACTTTGGTCTTTTTTGGCGAACGATAGCTATAGCTTAAATATTTGTATTCACGGCTTCTTTGGGAAGTTATTTGGTCTGTGTGTATAAAATGTTTCTCATGTTCAGATTGTTCTCTTTATATAAGCCTTTCTGGAATGTGTTCATAAGCCCAAGCATTGCAAATACGTAATCCTAATTGTATTTTACTTATTGCTTTCAGTCAAAAGGCATCTATAGATGAACTAAAAATAGAGTTGAGTGAAGAGAAAAATCAAAGAAGAGAGGAAAGAGAAACTGCCATTGCTGAACGAAAAGCTGCAATGCATAGATGCCAAATTGAGGCTCAGGAAGAACTGAAAAGATTTTCTGATGCTGCTGTAAGATACGAGAGGGAACAACAAGAAGTGATCAACAAAATGAAGGTATGAAAAGAGTTAGCTGTGTATGGATTTAACGCTTCTCCATTATTATGGCCTTTGAATAAGTCATTTTACATGATAAATATTTCAGGAGTCAGAGAAAGAAAGGTCCATGCAAGTGGAAACTTTGATGTCAAAATTGGTATGTTCTTGTGATTTATTCTATAGAGATATTTAGCCTCTTGATCCCAAAAACCTTCAATCCCTTTCTTTGGCAGTCATTTGATAAGTTTGTTGGTGTTTTATAGGAAGATACTAGGCAAAAGCTAGTCGACTCTGACAATAGAAACCGTCAGCTCGAAGCTCGAGTTTCTGAGGAGCAGCTTGCTTCTGCTAATGCACAAAAAGTACCTGATCTGAATGCAGTTTCCCTCTTATTTTGCATGGTTCTTTTCTCTCTTTTCTCTTTGTATTAATGGGTGCATTTGTTGCAAAAACTTCTCTGTGGAGCAGAAAATAGAAGAACTTGACCTTGAAATAAAAGTACTGCAAAAGGATCTGGAGAGTGAAAAGGTAAGAATGGAAATATTTTTGTGTGCCATTATACTTTTTTCACAGTTATACAATAATGACAAGCTTCTGTTTCCTACATCTGATTCCTGCTACAGAAATATGATAATATGCTTTGGGAGAGATTGTTTATATGTAGCTTAGAAATCAGATTGTCTCCGTTACGTTATATGTTTAAGCTGACACTTTCTTTGTTATGTTAGCAGGCAGCCCGAGAAGAAGCATGGGCGAAAGTGTCTGCCTTAGAACTAGAGATAAGTGCTGCTGTTCGAGATCTTGACGTCGAAAGACAGAGACACCGTGGTGCAAGAGAAAGAATCATGCTCCGGTAAGACATTTAGACGCATGTACTTTAGGCTGCCATGTCTTCTTTATAGATTAGTTGGCTTTCTGGTAGTTCTTCAAACGTCAATGGTGGATATTTTAAGACATGCATGCTTTTCTTTATTCTCGCGTAAGTTTGTGTTCAGTGCTTTTCTGTACAGCACTTTTGCTGTCTAGATTTCCTGGTTGGAGGGTAGTTTCTTGTTGACTGTGTTGCATTAAACTATTAACATGCACTGTCACGCAAGTTTGATTGATCTAACTTATTGACACACGGAATTTACATGCAGTGAAACTCAGTTGCGGGCATTCTATTCTACGACTGAGGAGATCTCGTCTCTGTTTGCAAAGCAGCAGGAACAGCTCAAGACCATGCAGAGAACTCTGGAAGACGAGGATAATTGTGACAATACTTCGTTAGATATTGATCTTATTCCAGTAAACAGAAATCCCAACAGAGGTAATACTCAGGAAGATGAAAGAGCAACTAATTGTGCTGCCAAGGCAAGCTCCTCCACTTCAGGGCAAAGGTCTAACAGGGATGAGGTTTTTGATACGTCGTCCTGTGAAGATGAAGATGCTACTCAGAAGCATGACTGTGAAATCATGAGTCAGGAAGGCCAAAACACTCAAGAAGCAAGCTCTGACAAAGTCGCAAAGGGTGGATTTGGCTCAGATATAGAAGGTGTTGGTACAGCGCCAGCGCCAGCGCCCGCTTTCGGAACAGACCTTGTAGGAACAGAGCAAGTCAATGAAACCCAAAGTCCAGGAGATGATCATCTGAGGAAGTCAATCATATTAGCTGGTGATACAATGCAGATAGATTGTGAAACTCAGGTACATGAAAGTATTCAGAATGATGGAGCTGTTCTCGTGTTAAGGAAAACCTTGAATGATAGAAGGGATACCCAAGACACAGAGGGAGTAGGCACTATAAGAACGTCAGATCTTCTAGCTTCTGAAGTTGCTGGGAGTTGGGCTTATAGCACGGCCCCTTCTGTCCATGGAGAAAACGAAACCGAAAGAAGTAGAGAAGATGAAGAGAGTCAGACTCAAAGAATCAAGGAAGTGGCTATAGTACATGACTCTGCCACTCAAGTAAACGAAAGTCAAACTAAACCGACAGTCCCTGAGGAGGTCCTGGTCACTAGAAGGAAAGATGATGCTAAGCATGAAGCTGTTAACGACGAGACAATGGGGATCATTGACCAGGGGAAAATAAAACATGGTAATGGTTCCAACTCTGACACAGAGAGTTGTTCTGATACAGATGATGACCGTGGGAAGGAAAAACAGAGTCCTGACTCAGAGTCCGACACAGAGGGTTCTGATATGAATGATGACAACAGATCACACTCTTCGGATCCCGATAGTGAAGGAAGCCATGAAGCTGATGGGGATCAGAAACAGGTGGACTCAATGGACGAAGACGATAAAGCCACTTAGCAAGATCTTGCTCTCGGTAACATACTCATGAACCTACCTACCTACACTAAATCCAAATCCATCTTTGTTTACTTTTCTTACACGTGAGATTCGTTTTTCGTTTACTTATTATACATGATAAGTAAGGTGTGTAGATAGTGCAGGGCAAATGGTACGGTTGTAATAACATGGGGAATTGTAATTTACGTGGAATGCGCGAATAGATTATTAAAAAAAATATTGAAAGTTTTGGATGTCAACTTCAGGACAAAGCATCTCCACAATGTGATGCAATGATAGCAACGATAGAATGAAGGGGAAAGGAGAGGGCTAAGCTAAGCTATAGATGGGGTTATAAATAGACAGCGGAAAGAGTAAGTCAGAGGAACCATCAATGGGTAATCTGAAATTAAAAGGAGAATGTTTTGATGGTGAAGAGAAGAGGAGGAAAATCTCTTTTTTGCAACAATTTCATCATTATGAAAGCACTCTGGTAAATTTCTTGACATTTTATGATCTTTTTATTTATATAGCTTTAGTGGTAAATTTCTCTTAGGTTTGAATGTGAAGTATCCTTTTTTTTTCTCTCCTTTCTATGGGATTCTCGGAAGGATGGCTGTATAAATAATAGTTGAGATAATAATAGAGTATAACAACATTATAACAAGTTTTGAACACTTTTTGGAGAAGCGTGGATGGGGTTTCATTTCGGTGTTGACTATCTCCTCCACTTCCATTGATGCCTCTTGTTACTTAGTTTGTCTTTGCATTTTGGTTGCAATTGAAATATCAATACAAGAAATGAGTAGATTTTGTAGTGGTCCTAGTCCTTGGCCTCATCAATTTATTCAAAAATTCTTTCTTTCTTTCTTTCTCCATATATATAGATCATTAATACATGTAATGAGTAGAGTTTTTTTTTTTCTTTTGTCGATGAGTAGCTTGATATTTTAATTGAATAGTCATAAGATATAGCTTTATATAATAAGATGTGCTACATGAAACTATTCTGTTCTGCTTGGTGTTTCTTACTTTTATTGGGTTTTTATAGAAATTTAAGGTGTTTTTTCTCCAGATAAAAAAATAAGATGGTAAGAAGAAAACAATTATAGGTTGGAGGAATATGGAGTATTGATTGGGCTATGTGGGAAGAAGAAAGGGAAAGGGGGTTGGGCATATATGCATGTGGAATTTGGGTTTGAGCATTGAATAGAAAATAGCCCATAATAAAAAAAAAAAATCAGAATTCAAAGGATGATGATGGTTGATGATGAATCCATCGTCGTCGAGTGGGGAATGGGGTTATTATGGCAAATGGGTATGATGATTGTGGGAAGAAGAAGCCAAATCGGTGGTTTCGTTTTCCAAATTAAATGTGCTTTGGCTTTTGCTTCTACTCCTACTCGAGTACTCCATGACTTTTTCCACTGCTACACACACACATATATATTTTATCTATGTATATTTGTATAATTGTATAGTTATGTGCTAAAAGTCACTGCACCCGATTCGGTAGTATTTATTTCACACTTTTTCGGTTTTGCCTCTTCCTTGCAAGTTTCAGAACCATCCCTTAAACCCAAGCTCGCTACCTCACGTGACCCATCACGAGCCATGATTCCCTCTCGTCTACCTTTCTTCGCTTTTCCCCCAAATCACAAAAGTTTGATTTACTAAAAGTCATTTAGATTAAGATTTGTTTAGAATTTAATTACAAGATTCCCCCGTCGAGTAAATGGGTTGGAGGATAAACGAACATACTAGAGAGTAGAGAGAGTTGACTTTAATATTGAAAATCCAAGACAACGAAGAATATATTGGATTAGTATCATCAATATGTATAAGAGTTGAGGAAAATACAGAATATTAACTAACAAATGTTTTAAGCAAATTTTATGTTTTATCGCAGAGGTCTTGTAATCTGCGGCTCATAATAAAGTTAAGAAACACGAAGTGCTTATTAGTTAAGAATCTTAATATTCATGTATAAACCTATTGGACGGGGAACGACAACAGCACATGGATGGGTGTATGCAACTTAATTAAATCAACTTTAGAACTTAAGTCTTGTTGTGTGTGTATTTTAACGGAATGATTAACCATCATTAGATATGACCAACGACGGGTTGAAAATTCTGGATTTACACTCTCCTCCACTTTGGAGCCTCGTGTACGTAATCTTTTTTTCTTCCAGTGACAAAGGGGTAAAATGGGGATTATGTTTCATAAAAGTCATATTAAACAGAAAACACAAAGAAAAAAAGACATGACTTGATGATTAAAAAAGTTAAGTAAAGAGAAACACTTGTACTTGTGAGGAAGATCGAGGTTTTGACGTACTCTTAACCTTTTTTGACTTCCTTGGCTCCCATATAATCATGATTTGACCTTTTGCCAGTCAAAAAAATCTGCCGTATCGCTTCATAAAACTCATTACAATTAGTTAAATAGCCACAAAATATTTTTAAAAAATCTATACTTTGTGCTGTACAAAATTTAAGGTTAAACTCATCAAAACAAACAAAAGGATAGCCATATAGACTACATAAAACCACTTTATTCTTATTGTAATGTGATTTAAAATAACGTAAAAGAAAATATGCATGTAACGGTAAACGTGAACTCATTTGGTTGAGCAAGAGACGAGCCTGGTTACAATTAAAGATTAATTAGTTGTAATAGTTAGGTCAATTAAAAATCCATAAGTTTCCTTTATATATCTTTTTTTTTTTTGCTACTAACGGAATGTATTATATATATTTGTAAAGTATAATTGTTAAATGTATCAACAGCCAAATGTTACACAGATTTGACTAACTGTCACCTAGATTTAAGCTTCATGACACCATCACCATGTAATTAGGTTGACAAACAAACAAAATTACTATAAGTTAAAGCCAAAATTGAATAGTTTGTTTGTCCTGTGTACCTCTTAACGGTGACTTGAGCTTTTTAGGGAAACTTCCTAAATTCTTCTAAATAGTACACATTTAACTAAATCAATCAGTCAAAAATATATAAAAACAAGAGAGATAATATTGAGAGAGAGAGACACTGTCTTTGTTATATACTTTGCTCTTCTTCATCTTCAAAAAATTCAACTTCATCTTCTCCCTCATAACATCTTTCCCTGTCCCTTTGTAATCATGATTCTTCTTTTGCCATCATTACCTTCTAAAGGAGCCTATCTCTCTCCTCTCTCTAGAGAAAATGCAAACACAAACTTACAACAAACTTTCATCTATATATAACGCCTCTATCTCCCCCAATAATCAAACACGTCTCACTTCTTCTCTCTCTCTCTTCCTCTTCCTCACTTTCTCTCTTCAACCTTCAAAGATGTGTTTGAGTTCTTCAGAACCATTTTCAGACACACCCACGAGATTAGTTTTGTACCTCAAAACACAAAGCCACGTTCGTATCCCTCGTCTCTCCAGGTTCAGTTTCCATCATAACATACACCTCTCTGAAAGTATAATCAACTCTCTAACTACGTTCTGAGTCACTATAACGAGTTAGTACTCTGTTTTCATCTCTATTTCAGGAGGAGAAGGATGTGGCGGGAAGAAAAAGAGATGGAGATGAACAATATAAGGCTTTACATGGAGAATCAAAAGATCATACAAGAAAACGAGAAACTCAGAAAGAAAGCTCTTCTTCTTCACCAAGAAAACAAAACTCTTTTCTCTCTGATCCAGACCAAAAAACTCTCCTCTGTTCCATAAACAAAGACCTTATCATCACCAAGATCATATTCTTCTTCTTCTTCTTCTTCTATAGTGAAGTATTAGTAAGATCTGAGGGCTTTGAAAACACCAGAGTCTTATTATTTAAGTGGGTCTTATAATTTACAATTAAGGGTTTAGTACTACTGCTGGGTATACATCTAATTTTTTTTGTTCTTTTTAGTTTCATCTCTCATGTTATCTCTGTACGTGTGTTCTTTTGTTAACGTTTAATCTACTTTCTAAATTCTAATTAATGTTTTTCTTCTTTTTAATTTGCTACTACTCAACAACAGACCATAAGTGAAATATGTTTTTGGATTTTATTATATACACAACATGTCAATCTTAACCGAGAGCGTACGACCAATAATTTGTACGAATGGACAGACGATTTACAACCATGTGCATCAAAACCATAGATCGATCTACAAAAATTCTGAAAACTAGTTTATATTATATATTTCGACCCAAAAAAAAAATTAATCTTAATCGACGAGAAATTTACATAGCTGGCACGAACATCTCACGTGACGTGGGTACCCCTCGACGACGTAGAAAATCACCGTTTATATTAAATTTTGGATTTGGAGTATCCAACAAAATTAATGATTTTCACATGGCGATGCCGTGGACGTTCCAATACGGCAAAGCCATGCCATTTCAATCAATAGATTCGAACATGCGCGCCGTTTTTTTTTTTAAAACAACATGTCACTATTTTAAATAGCATGACCAACAGAATAAAACATGCGCGTCGTTTTAAACCACAGACGCGCGTGAAAAATAGAACAAAGCATACCCGCTGTTTCAAGCAACAAAATTAAACGAGCGTGCCGTTTCCATCCCAAAGTCTCTTCTTCCAAGTTCCAACCGCAACACAAACCATTTAAAACAGACTCAAGGGCAGATCATAGAAAACCGAAGACCAAAAACAAGATCAGAAAATATGATGAAATCATTCCATGAGTTTCATTCATAAGCTACATAAAACCGAAAGGATAAAACAATCTCTTCTTCTTCAATAAAGACCAAACAAAGAAACCAAAAGTTCGAAAAAAAAAAAAGTAAAGCTAATATCGACCGATAAGGATAAAATCATCGTCATCAAGAGCCTGAACATCTCTCTCACCCACAAAATGCTCTCGTCCAATCTCCTTCACCATCTTCACAAACTCAAGCCTCTTAGAAAGTGGCAACGGAACATACGGCAACCTAAAAACCGGCCTCGCCACTCCAAGCTGAGCCAGAGCAGTGTTAACTCCAATCGGGTTCGGCTCGTGGAAGAGCCAATCCATCAAAGGAAGAAGCTTTGAGTTCAACGACGAGTTCCTACCTTCAAACATCAGCTTCCTCATCAAACCCGGAACCAAATTACTAGTAACCGATATAACTCCGGTTGCTCCATAATCCCATCTCGAGTCATGACACTCATCATCATTCCCACTCCACACGACAACCCCATTATCAGTGTACTCCTCAACACGCTTGTTCCCAACACACTCCTTCACACCTGCCAAGTTAGGGTTCTGAGAGAGTTTAAAGATGGCACCAGGCGGTATGTCCTGCCCCGTTCGACCCGGCACGTTGTATATAATCGTCGGTCCCATGTGAAGAACGGACTGGAAATGAGCGATGAGACCGTCGATAGAAGTCTTGCCATAGTAAGGGTTAATGTGAAGAGCGGCGTGCATCCCCACGGCGAACCCTTGTTCAGTGGCGTGGATCGCTTCTCTCGTAGAGTTGCTTCCTGTGTTTCCAATGACTTTGATGCTTCCACCAAAACAGTTAACAGTATGGCCTATGAGCATAATGTGTTCATCCCAGCTCATCAACTGTCCTTCGCCGGTCGTACCACCAACGATGACACCTTCCGCGCCGTTCTGTATCTGAATGTTCACCAAGTCATCATAGGCTTCAAGGTCGAATCTTCCATCAGGCAGGTACGGTGTTTTGATAGCTGTGATCACCCTCAGAGCCTTAATGTCGTCTGTGTTTGTCCTGGCAATGCACAAAAACAAACGGTAAAGGAATGACCTTGCAGAACAGAGAGAATGTATATATACATATATGAGATTTCACATTTTCATCGACATAAAAAACTCAGACCTGTTTTTAACCTCCAAGCTGCGCATTGGGAGATGGAAATTCGGTACAACAGCTGCTTTTGGAGAGACCCATCTCGAGCTTCTTCTGCGTTATAACACACATAAATTAGCTTGGCTCAATATGCAGAACAAGAGGTCCTAATGTCCAAATAAGTCACCCACATGACTCGGTTTAGGCCATACAAAGAACATGAATCATGGACTTAATGTCTATAGATGAAAAGACCAGTGTCTACATATCAATTGAATATTGAAGCCAACACCATAAACTATAATGACTAGCTTGGATTGACATACGAAAGCTAAAGATAAAAGTTACCAATCAGCAGATGTATTAAGTCTACATAGATAAACATATGATAGGAGAAGAGAAAGGAAACCTCTTGGAGCTCTGGAATCGCCTTGGATAGGGGAACTGCAGAGCAGAGTCCATAGAACACAAGCCATAACCTTTCAAAGCAGCCATCTTTGAAAACGCACAGTAGCAATAGAAAATTCACCAAAACACTAAATAACAAACGGAACCCAATTCTTGAATCAACGACCCTAATTCAAACAATCACCAAGCTGGCGATCAGTACGAGAGGATGATGGCAGCAATGTGAGTACTTCCAATAATAATCGTTGAACGGAGAAGTGAAGCGATAGAGCTCTGGAAAGGGTGGCTTCTGAGCATAATGACGAAAGATTCCGATAAGGGCAATGGGAATTTGTAAGGAGGAGGAAGCGGCGAGAGATGGAGGGAGCAAGAAGAAGGAGAGGGTATTAAAATACAAAAGCCGTCTTAGGGTTTTTTTTTTCTGTCTCGCTCTAGCTCATTGGATATTGCCACGTGGGATATTGAATCGTCGACACGCACGAAGATTACGGTCAGAGTTTTAATTTTTTTAAGAATTTTGTTTATCCTTAAGAGCAGCCTCGAAGACTTTTTAATCCTTCAATAATTCTGATTAAGGGCTCCATGGGATAGCAATATATATTATTGGTTCATGCAAGGCACTTTCGTATTAAAAAAAGGTCCACCGTTGAAATTGTGTCTATTGTCTAGTAGTAATAATATACTTTACTTTCTGGAATCAAAGCTCTTAAGCTAAACTATCCCTTAAGACCGTTGAAAAAAAGGGTCTCCCTTATGAGCCCAATATAGGCCCATTATACTCAAAACGATTTGGTCAAATCGAGAGCAGTCAGCCTAAATCGAAGTCTGCAAGCCCGAATCACATTAGTCGATGTCCATCAGGCCTCACTCAGATTGTTTTATCATTCAGTTTGGAAATAAAATGCATCTTTCAAAGAATGTTTTATCTATTCCAGCTACATTAACTAAGCCCAAATTGAAGTGTGCAAGCCCGAATCACATTAGTTGATGAATTCAATCAGGCCTCAGATACTATTTGATAGGTTTGGTACAATTTCTTACGGATGGCTTCGGTACACAGTTGATCTTGTTTTCTAGACATAACAGGTAAACCTATTCTACCAACAAATATAAAAAAATATATATATATATAGATATATTATTTGATTCAATTAGGATTACGATCGAAATTAAACAATAGTAACCATAGTATACAATTAAGAATCTAAACTGCATTCGAATGTCTTGTATACGAGATCACTAAACATATGTTGATGCACATTAAAAATGTCTTGTATATAACTGTTAATTACAAGAAGTATCACTAAACATATGTTGAATTTAAGAAAAAGGTTAAAAAAACATATGTTGAATACTGTAAATAGACCCATTTCAATTATAGAGGGAGGATTTGTTTGGATTCTATAAGGAGAGAGAGGGAGGAGAAGCCTAGAAAGAAGAATGATGGGGAAAGTGGGAAGGAGGTGGCTTTGGAAGTAAGGAACTCTCTCTCTCTCTCTCTCTCTTTCTTCTCACTCTACAGCTTCTTCACTCTCTCATCGCCTCGTAAAGGAACTTTTCTTTCTCACAGACACGCACGTGCATGCGTCGGTGCTTCACCCAATGCTCTTCTTCTCTTCCCCCTCTTAATTGCTTTCTCTTCTCTCTCTCTCTCACTTACAAATTAAAGCCCTACTCACACAATTTATATTCTTCCGTAAAATGTAGTAGTGATCATCAAGTGAGTTAGTCAATGTAATCATCATTTCCTTGTTCCAACTCTCTTTCTCTCGACCCTTTTAATTTCTTTTATAACCAAAAAATTTACACCACATGCAGTCGTATACTTTTAAAACTTAATTTGTTTTTTTTTTTTATATATATCTTGATGTTAGTTGTATATATGTAAGGAATTTCGTGTAAATGTGCAAATACGAGTATCTGCCAAATGCAGTCACCTTGTTCCCAAGTCTTGTTCTTGTCATTATGCATCTTGCCTCACTTACCAACCTCGGAACAATCATCTTGTATCTCTTTTTTTCTTATTTATCTCCTTATATCTGGCCGTTAATATAAGATACAATTAATCGTTGTTAAAATGTTTGAACAGGAAATAATATATAAGCAAATCACTGAACTTTTCAGAAAAATGGGTTTCGAGTTTGATTAATTAGTAACGGACTAAAACTAATATTTGACCTTATACAACAACAATTTTTATTTTTTTTACATTGTTAGAGAGTAACCTATTTTCACTTTAAGTTGTATATAGCTTTCTCTTGGTGCGTTCTCGTTGAGCGTTATATAACCTTTCAATGAAATCATAGCTTACGCACCATAAAAAATTTTGATCAAAAAAAAAAAAAAACGCACCATATATAAATTTCAACATATGCGCAAATCTAATTTTCACCAACACATATAAAAATAAAATCTCGAAATCATGAATTTATAATCTCCTAGTCAACGCAACCATAAAACCCTCAAACATAAAAGATCGATCAATCAAATTCCCTGAGCAAAACGGTTCCCTTCGTTTCATACGTACCACCAATCTTCGTCAAAGGCTACAATTATCATTAGAAAAACATAGAAGATAGAAAAATTCAAATTTGACAGAAGAGCGATTGTGAATTAAAAACGGCGAACGTATCTAACTTTTTCCTTTTGCGCGATTTAGAAAGATGGTCTCGGAGTCCCCCAATAAGCTTCAGCTGGCAGTTGAACAGAATTCATAAGATTCGGAGGCAACCCTTGTATAAACGACGTCGGATCTTGCATCAACTGCTGCTGCTGCTGCTGCTGCGACTGCGACTGACTCTGACTCTGCGTTTGCGTCCCACCACCTAGCGTTGCGTTTCCATCGATATTATTAGCAACCGCACCAGCCGTTTGCTGCTCTTCCTGATCATCTTCCTCTAATGGCAACCTCTCGTACGCAGCGTTCCCAAACGAAGCAGCCATAATCACCACAGGTCCTGAAGCCATGAGTGGACCCACCACGCTCCCTCCAACGACCTGTCCTTGACCACCGGCTAAGTATATCGTTAGACCGGACGCAGCCGGTGGAGCCGGAGGAGGGAGAAAAGATCCCGAAAGAGAAAGAATCTCGAAACGTCCGTGTAAGTTAACGACGGATGAGCCACCACCAGGAACTGAAGCTGGTTGTCTTATGGTAACGTTGGTAACGGCGCCGTTGCCGCTCAAAACGCAGATGCCACGTTGGCGACGGCGAGCGAAGACGGTGACGCTTTCCATGACGTCACATCCGTTAGCTACTTCCATTACATGGGATTTGAGGGCGTTTGCGCTGTCTCGAGTGATGATGATTGGTGGTTTTGGTTTGTTCTTGGATCCTGCTGGTCTGCCACGTGGCCTTCTCGTGATATGATTATCTCCCCCTCCTCCTACTCCTCCTCCGCTTTCACCGCCGGAGCCGGGAGTGTTTTGGTCTTTTCCGGCAGAAGAGTGCTCGTTGGGATCGATTTCAGTGTCTCGGTCACGTTTTAGCCCGCCGATTCGGTGCTGGTCGATTTCGTGGCCGTGATTCTGTTGCTGCTGCTGATGCTGAAATTGGTGGTGTGGGTGTAGATGGAGATCTCTTGAGAGAAAAGGTGGAGGTAGAGAGCGAGAGACTTGATCCATTTCTTGATTGAAAAGTAAAAACTGAAAGCAAAACTGTTGAAAACCCTAATTAATGAATATCTTCTCTTCTCATCCGCTCAAATCAAAACCAGTAGCCTTAGCTTAAGGGTGGACACACAATATATCAAATCTCAATTCAATTTATCAAGGGGAAAAAGACTAAAAAAAATTAAGAAGAAGAGAAAAAGAAAAGAGATACAAAGACATATACATGTAATGAAACTGGAGCTAGACTAGTAATTCATGAAGATGATGAAGCTTGTAAGAAGAAGAGAGAGAGAGAGGAGAGGAGAGAGATGGGTTTAGGGTTAGGTCTGAGAGGTTAAAGGTTAAGAGAGTATTCAGATGGAAGATGGGTTTAGTTTTGGTTTAGACTTTAGATAGACAGCGTGCCGCATGGGCGGTGTGTGGGTCCTACTTACTGTGTCACTTTGTGGGGTCTACTTTTTCTATTGTGTAATAATTTTCAGTTGTGTGTTTGTCTCCTTTTAATTGAAAAACAAAGAAAAGGTTTTTTTAAGAAAAACAAATCCGTGAAAATATTGGATGACCTTTACTAGATAGTCCATGGATGCGTGGGATTATATCAAACATTATAATGGACACAAAATTTGAAGTGCACGAGTCTAGGTTGAATATGAAATGATTTTGTTTTTTTATAACTAAGCTGATGATGATGAAACTGGTGCATATTATGTATGATTTTGTAGCTGGTACATGCCATAATGTACGGTCTTCAGTTACATATTATATATTCTCGAGTCCAATTTTTAATTTAGCCAACATTCACGAGTTTTTTCTTCTTTTATATTAGTATGTTTCTCGATGTAACGGTAGAACATTAAAAAAAAAAAAACAGTTTATATCTATATATACACACATACTTATTTTAAAAGAGAACCGGCGAAAAATTGAATCTTCAATACAATAAGGTGGGTAGCATTAACCAAATACTTATATATATATATATATATATCATCTTAACAAAACAGATTCTTGTACATGTGGAGAGTATTCCTTTTGTGTGTACGTATATACTGTAATTTGCGTTGATAGATAAATTTTAACCAAGCATTAAGGAATACGACTCCCCATTACATATGTTTATAGAGGATTCAGAGTTATTTGTAGAAAAATACATATACTTGTTTTTTTATCGTTACAAATCATTGTTTTTTTTTGTCCTCTCAAATATCTTAAAAAAATATACACGTGTTCGCATATATATGTACGTTAAGATTAATTAAGGTGCATGAAAGTTAGTGAAAATAATTAAGAGATCAAACGAAAAAAAGAAGCTGAATGTGAAGAAGAGACGTTAATTGTGGTTGGATAATGACGGAAGCTGTTTTAAATGTTTGACTTAAAATCCACGAGAAGAGAACCACTTAATTGTAATTAATATATTTATCAATATGAAAATGTGATTCAATAATGTCTTATGTAGTTAGGTACTTCGGTTT